CATTTGATTTTTCCATTCTTTTATATTCGTTATGTTGTAGTTTTACATAAAGGCAGATATTGTGTTAATAAATTTGAGTTTCCTAGCTGGTAGATGACGTCGAAAGGAAAACCAGCGTGACCGTGTAACTTTTGTAAAAGAAGGGCTTGTCGTGAATTGCTGTATGGTGGAAGTATAAGATCGACTTTCCGATACTCTGTCCATTTCCGTTCCATCACTCCTCCTTTCCCGCTACTACTGGATGGTTATCGGTATTTCCCACTGATGTCACCAACTCACCTTGACCAAACTCTATCCGGTTTGTGATTCATCGCCAAACACTTTACGCATGAATCAGTCTTTTCACGTCGATCCTGCCCCCGTGTTGTGTTCGTTTCCGTAATCGAAGCCATAAGTTTTGTCTTGATCAAGCCGTTCAGCATACTCCACCGTTATTTTTCGTGTTCGAAGTGATTTTCGACGGTTCAACGGACATCGGTCAGTACAAAGGTCGACCTAAGGTCAGATATATTGGACTTACGGGCGATTTGTCACCGCGTCGCGCGATCAACCTTGACACCCGTCCCATTATAAACGAGTTGCACATTTTGACATGGTCGTGTTCTGCCCATTGTGGCTTGCTCCATGCTCTCGCCCATGTGTTATGACAGCCCTGCTGTCACTCGCCAAGCTTCGGGCTTCTGTTGCGACCACGTTTAAACGAACGTTTTTTTTTCAGACTGCCCGATCGTTTGACAGAATTTGATTGAATATCTGTACTCTGCTACCGGAAGCAGAACATCTTTTGCAAGACTTACGATGAACAGATCGACGTTTCTAGTCATTTTCTTCATTTTCCAAACCGGTGCAGTTATTTTATCAACTACTGTATTTGAGTATACTGTTACGGAACGATTTTCAGGTTCAGCGCAGTTCGACGACTACCGTCCTGATCCGAGAATACCAACGCAGCCGTATCCTCAGCGCCAGCCAACATACAACATTCCCCAGCAGCAAGGACGTGACTCTCGCATTGTTCCGCATGTAGTCATAACTCAGGATTTGCTGCCGACTAACAAGGCTTCACAGATATCGGTAATTTTTTTTCCTGAATATTATCTTTTACCATATGGTCGTTAGTCTTATTTTTGATTTAAATGATGAACCAGCTGCAGAATATTGATATAAAATTTTTTTAATTTCATTCGTAGCCGGACAGTTTTTTTCCAAATTTTGAAAGTGCATACGAAGCATATGAATATTAATTTCACAATGGCAGATTTCTGTCCGTCATCGATTTCTAATGCCACTAGAAATGGGACATGGTAATCAAGTGCGGTTCTCTATCATTGTTTTAAAAATTATTAGTTTCTGCAAAAAAAATTAGCTAACAATGTCCAGGATCAATTCAAAACATTGTTTATTTAGTTCAGGAGTGAATGTTTGGCAGCAGAAGGTCTTGACATGTTTACAATACATGACGATACTGAAACAGTAACATTATGAAAGATAAGTTGAATCAGTCAATCAGTCTACGGGACAGTTTATCCTTTCGGGTTGCGGTGGCAGGCGTGTTGTTCCCGATTATGTACGACAGTTTCAGCTTCGGCAGAAGATCGCCTGGACAAGAATCTATCGAATCTCTTGTTTCAAATCATTCTTGGTTGCCATCTGAATCTTCACCTGGTCGGTTGAGCAAGTAGTAGCTGTTTAGCCTTCCCACATATAAGCATTCGCAAAGCGTGCCGAAACTATCAAAGCTCGGATTTTCAATGTCGAAAAACAATGAAAAAGAAGGTTTGGTGTAAATTCCTACACTAAACTTTCACACCCTTTTAAAAAGGCTAATAAATAATTTTCCTAACCGTGGCATTTTACGTATGTAGCTGAAGTTTTTGATCCATAACTCAAGCATTTCCTTGGAAAATTTGGGAGGATATAAACGCTACTGCTTCATTGTTTTGCAAATGGTAAGGCATCATATCAGGAAAACAGATTTGAGGCCCACAGCACGATGCTGGACATCGTTACTGACTTCGTTTATCATTCTCGACCAATTTGCTGGCATCGTATTTCCAATGTCGCCTGGGACTTTCCTTGTATGTATCGGGATTGCAGTCTTTGATGTATATATTCGATGTACAGTATTTTAAATGTCATTATCATTTTCCGTGAATGAGTGGCTATGGGAATGACAAAGATGCGTTTGCAACGGAAAGACCATTGTCAGAGGTCTACCATAGGTGTTTAATAGTTTACCTTTCGGGATCTATTTTTTAAGTTGTCAGTTTTTGATATTATCGAAGTTAGTAAAGATGAAGGTATTGGTTCAGTTTCAATGAAACACCTCTGGTTTAATGAATGGTGGATATTATTACTTCTGCATCTGAGCAAGAGAAATATAAATTCTTCTTGCTTCTTGACAATGAATGATATGGTATATATGATCAAACAGTATCGACTCCGAACTCAGATTCGGCTACAAGTGACCTTAACTACCTCTGGACTTTACCTTTTGACTTTTGTGTCACGGGCCAAAACGTCGGTATCGGCTAGTGTTCAGAATGACAGACTTTTGATGTTGCCTATACAGTAAATGAACGAAAATTTTTCTGTGCTTAGATTAGATCACTTGGGCCAGGTGGTAATCGGCAAGGAATAGCACTGGCCACAGGTCTGAAATACACATTGATTAAGGTCACAGGTCTTTTTCATAGTTTTTACCTGACAAGGATTTCCGCTATCTGAGATCAGAGTCATTATGGAAAAATTGCATAAGCAACTGCTCACGATGAATAGACGATCTTTTGCTGAAATTTCGCCACATATTTCGCTAAATGTGATATTAATTATGTTAGTTTTGCCATGAATTTCATTATTTTAAAATTACATTAAACTAGCCTAGCTTAAATTTTCATTTTGATACGTGGTCAAGTTTCTATGTTGCTTTATATTCACGTCGTTTGTTAAGATTGTGACAATGAGCGTACCATCGAGCAAGGTAGTTTACTGCGTCAGTGAAGAACCTGCATACAAGCTGATGTTTTCATGCCCTGACTGTAACGATACGTATTTCGAAGACCTCGTCGCCAGGGCGACTACGGACATGACCGCCATCACCTCGTACCCGTCGATAAAATTAGAGTCGGTGAGGATCGACGCGGAACAAAATGGCAAGACATTGGTATGCCTTGCGTTTTACAACTCTGCGGGCGAGATGCGCAACGTCACGGCCGCCGTGAAGATGAACGTTCAGTACCTGGCGATTCCAGAGATCGTGGACGAGAACTTTCGCCCTCCGGTTGTAGCCAGTGGAAACCGCTTCTTCCTCACCAACTCACAGATGAGGCTGTCCTGTGTTGCTCATGGCAATCCTGTACCTTCGTCGTTTTCTTGGTTTCAGAGCGGCGCCAAAATGGCCGATGGTCAGACGCTGACCGTCGATTTGCATTTCTTCTTCAAGACTGTCGAATGTCGCGCCAGCAACGGTCTCTATACTAAAAACTCAGAAGGTGCCGAAATTGACATTTGGGGTAAGGTTAATTTTCTGTTGTTCTGTTAGAAACGTTTGCTACTTAAATTGAAAAGCCGTTTGTAAGTTTTAACCTAATTCTTATGGAAGGTGTCCGTCGTTCCTTATTTTGGCTCTTTGATGTGCAGGAGTTTTGAAAAGTGATCTTCTCATAGCCTTCTCTCTTTTTAATGAATGAAAAAGTAGTATTAAACACGTGCAGACATCGTCGTCCAGCAATAAACTGCATAACTGCAGTGATCGGCAGGCACTGATAGCCCGTAGACATTATTTGGGTAAATAGTGCTTATCGAAGAAAATATAATACTTGCTGTTTTGCGCTAAGGGTGGAGTTCTGTGGGCAGATTTTAGAGGGTTATATGTACATGCTTTGCCACAGGTAGTCTTTCGCAGTTCAGTGATACAAAGAAGATGTCTAAAAATGTCAAAGATGTTCACTAAACTGTCGTGGCACTATGGCCAGCTGATTAGCCATATGAACAACTGGGAACGAGAGATAGTGCTAGAAAGACATTAAGTCTGGTTTAATTAAGTTAATTAGATGGCAGTGCGGATACCTCTCTGAGAATCGTTCTGCTAGCCGTTGAAGCATCATAAGATTAAGGCATATCAATTCCTGTTGTATTTCATCTCGTTTAGAGATACTTATATATCCGTACCATTGTTTCAGCATTAGACGTCTTGGAGTGAGGCAAAAGATGTTGCATTAACTCAGAGAAGACTGTATGATGCCGTTGTTTCTCTACGCTGCTTTCACCAATTTCCATGGTTTAAAAATTAGCCTTTATGGTTTTACAAGACATGTGCCGAAGCTGCTACGAACTGCACGTTTTTGAGCTTCCAGTTCGTAAAATTAATCTATGAAATTCGATTGGGATTGGACTAAAATGAATCCAGCCAATTTGCACAGAAAAATGTTTATTGAATTAATCAGTACCTCGGCTTTAAGGAATAATTTTTTTAAAAATTTTTGTTCTATTGGACGTAATGCTTTAATGCTTCT